AAAAACTAAAAGATTAAAAACTAAAGACTAAAAAAAGTAAAAGGTAATACAATATTATCTTACTTATTTATTACATTCTACTATAACATACTGCTCTTTTTAATTCAAAATATTTTATCTTTTAGGTGGCAAGATATATATTTTATCTTTTAATCATTTATCCTTTAAATGAAATTATAAAAAAAGTTGTATCAAACTTTATAAATCTACAAACAATCTATCCTTGATTTATCCTAAGAAAAAAATGATAACTGTGCAATGGAAATAATAAAACTTTAAATTTCTTGATTCTTTTAAAATGCTAAATTTTAATTAAGATGCTGAAGAAAGATAATACAAAGAAATGAAAGAACAAAAACAAGAATGAATGAAAGAAATAAAAAACAGAATAGAAAATTATTAAAGAAATGCTAACCGTAGCATGTCAAAATATTTATTATTAAAAGAATAAAATTCAACATAAATATAATTCAAACTAATCTAAATCTAATGTAACATAATCTTTTTGATTCTGGATTAATAATGAATAATTTTGATTAATTGAACTAAAAGTAAAAAATATATTTTTAATTAATTTTAGAAGATAATAAAAAAATATATTCATCAAAAAAAATTAAATCATAAATTAATTCAATAAATTTTTAAAATAATACTATTTATTTGAAAAAAAATCATATCTTATATTATATATCATCAACTTTTTAAGATATTCGCATTATTTTGTTCTATTTTCTGTTTCAGATAAATTTCAAAATATAAAAAAATAGTAATTTTAATTCATGTATAATTAACTATGCTTCTTAATTTATTTGAAAATATATATTAGTGAAATGATATTGAAATATATTATGATTTGAATATATTATAATCAAATAAAATGTGGTTAAGAAAATAAATGCATGTATGAGCATTTTTCAATTCAAGAAGCAAATGATAATTTCTTTTGCAAAGTATTAAGTCGAAAAAACTTGCTACGATTTACAATCAATAAATGAATTCATTATTTTCGCAATTTGATTGATATTGGTAATAATTTGTACCAATAATTTAACGAGAGAATACGCAATAGTTATACATTATACTTTTCATATCTTATAAAATATTTAAATTTAAATTATAAATGATTTAATGTAATGATACCGAATTAAATTCTAGATCTTTAATAATAAAAATTATATATTATATAGTTTTTCGAGTTTTTTTCCATTTTTCCAAATTTGCAAATTTTATTTGTAAATTTCGTTTTATAAAATAACCTCTCAAAAATAAATTCCATTGTCGTATTGTCACTAAATCAGATAATTACCGAAATTGGTAACAGGAAGAAGAGAGAAAGGAAGAGAGGGGAAAATGAAAATACACAAATACGATGAAAAAGAAAACGAAAGGGAAGTAAAGTGCGGCCAGAAGCAGCGCAAGAATCGAAAGGAGAAAAAGCAAGACAAGGTCTCGTTATCTCCGATCTTCACCCCGTCGAGGAACACGTACCCCCCGTGGAATGTTTACCCCTCCTCCGCGAGTTTCGTATCGTCCACCTCTCATCGGGGTTCCCAAAAAGCCCAACCCTTGTTTCGCTTTGATCCAGAGACACCGCCTCGACCGATCGAGACGAAAACGGAAGAAAGAGAGCGTGTACGCGTAGTACAGAACGTGGAAGCGAGATGGACAAGAGAAAATAAGTCGAAGAGGTGGGGGAGGAGGAAAAGATGGAGGAGGAGAAAAGATAGGGCGCGAGAGAAACGGAACGAAAGAAGAAGCGCTGTGGTACCGGTGCCTCGGTGTATCTACGGCCATATTTTAGCCCGTCCTTTACAAGACAATGGTTTCAACCGAGGACCGATAAAAATTATTCAAATGACTAGTCCCGCTGTAAATTCCATCCGGGAATCCCCTTGCCACCGAGTGTCCTCCGCGAGAGTCATCCACGATCTGTGGCGCGCGCAACCAAAGTCAGGATGCTCGCGTTTTTGCATACAATCTAATATTCCTAAGATTCACAGTCAAAAATTTTGTATTTTGTCGCGACGGATGCTTGATTTGTGGTATATTGTTTCGAATAATGATAATTATTGTTTGATGTTGTGATCTTTTAAATAATTATTCTATGCTTAATGAAGAACATTTGCGACAAATATTTGGAAAAGTAATTTGATTGAAGAGTTCGCTATTTAAATAAATAAATAATATATCTTTTAATTATTATTATTATTATTTGATTAAAAATTTTCTTTAAAAAAATTCCAAATAAATATTGAATGATAAATGTAATAAATAATTAAAATAATTGTATAGCGAAACAAGTTAATTTCATTAAAATCAAATAATAAATGATAATAGTAAATAATAAGTAATTTATTTCATAAAATGACAAATAAATTATATAATTACATTATTTATTCATTTTGTATGGAATATTTTATGAAATATTTGTTATTACTTGTTAATATAAATTATTTTTTAAATAACATTACAAAATAATTTTAAAATAATATAATTTAAAAATTTTTCAAAATTTAAATTCAGGTTTAATTAAATATAGTAAATAGGTATTTTCTATTAAATAAAATGGATTACTATGAGAAAATTATTGTAATTATTTAGAAACTATATTTTTTTTTATGTATAAATGAAAATTTTAAAAAAATATTGTTATATTTGTATAATGTAATACGAATTTTAAAATTTATATAAATTATTTAAAATTTTTCTGTTGATTTTCTTTATCTAATTGAATTAATCTAAACAATCTTATTACCATGTCTCTTCAATTGCAATCAATTTAAATCTTAAAAATTATAAAATTTATATTAAAATAATTATTATAAATCATTATATTTTTAAAATAAAATTTCAGTTTTTATTCGTTTATATAAATAATTGCAATGTTTTTTTTCAAAATATAAAAAATATTTGCTGAAAATATTATTCCATAAAACAATGTAATTTATTTATTATTTATTACAGAGAAGATATGAATAGATATAATATAATAGAAATGATAAAAAACAGTGCTTAATTTGATACTAATGAAAAAAAAATTTTATTATTTTATTGTATTATAATATAAAAAGTTACGAACATTAATTTCTATATCATGAAAAATTAAAAATGAATAAATAAAATAATAATTTATTATTAAAAGATAGATTTTTATTTATATTCTGAATAATATTTCTTTCATTTATTAAAAATTTGTGTAGAAAAAAATAATAAAGATAAACAAGTAATTTCCAGATTAATAAAAAAAAATTAAAAAAAAATAAAATTATTTAAAAATTGTCAGTAAAAGATAAGTACATTCTATTTTTTAGTATATTTTTTTATAATTATTTTTTCTTATTTTTTTTATTTTTATCTATTTGTATTTTTTCCCTTTTTCAAGGAATTTTTCACGTCAAGTATTATTAGCATTATAATTTCTAAGATAAGTTGGAATACATGAAAGATCAAATTTTACTATAAAATATTGAATTTATATTTTTAATTTTTTTTATTTGAAAAATATATTATACGTTATAAACTGAATATTACAAAATAATTAATAAAATTAACAATATTAACAAAAATTTTTCACTATTGTAAACTTGATATTATATATAATTTTTATTATTTAATATAATTTTTAAATATTTTTCAATAAAATCAATTCAAACTTTAATAGATTTTTATGAAAATAACCGTTTCTTTTATTTTTATTCATCTTAATAATTTTTATAAGTAAAAATGGAGAAAGCATAAATAAAGCAAACACATAGATCAATATCAAGCTATCCTAACATAACGGCAACAACGACACCAATCAATAAATATATCACTTACCCTCACGAGAATATCTTTCCCATCCACATCCAACCATTGAATCATCACCATCAAATAATTAAAAAAATGAGCAAAATAGAACAAACAATTATAAATCAAACTATAAATCACTCTCATACAAAGAATCATTGGAAAACCACAAAAGATGTTAGCCAAGGTTAAAGTTATGGTATCAATTTTACAACTGATTTATATTATTTCAAAAAATCAAACACATTAAACATTTTTATCAAATAAAAATAAAAGATTTTTTACAAATATATAATTTTTTATATATAAAATTGAAAAAATTGAAGGATTTCTTAAAAGAGATATTTTTAAGATATTAAATATATTTATTTATATTTATCATTTATCGATACAATGATAATTTTTATCAATTTTGAAAAATACCAATTTTGGAATATAATTATATAATAATTATATAATAAATATTTATATAACAAATCGCTAACTATCGCTTGTTTGATGCTAACAAATTATTAAAAAATTAAATATACGATAATAATACATAAAAAATTTTATCAATTATCAACTTCATTCCAAATATTTGATTTTAATATACAGTTATTTGCAAAATTATTTAGAATTTACAAAACAAAGAGAAGAGAAATACATTTTGATTTTATATTGATTTTATAAAGAAGAATATTTGAACATATTTATGCAAGTTTATGTTATCAAATTAAAAGTAACAAATTCTTTACAAAAATATTCCTATGCGAAATGAATTATAAAATTGATAAAACAATAAAAATTGAAAAGAAATGATAATAAAAATAAATTTAATCTTAAATAAAAAAATAACTTTTTTAATTATTTAAAACATGTTAATTGTCAAAAATGGTATCGAATAAAATAAAATTTTATGAAAAAATTGTTGTCATAAATAATTTTTTATTTTCAAAATATAAAAATTCACTTTTTTCTTTATTTTTATTTATATGTTTAAAAAAACAATTTAAGTGAATTTTTTTTTATATTTATATGTATACTATACATTAATATATAATAAAACATTTTTGTTGTTTTAGATATGTTTATTCTAAATATAAAAATATAAACATCAAAATTGTACTAATATCTAATTATTTTTAGAAACAACCATATTTTCATGATAGATTAGTAATAATTTATTGAATTATATTTGATTTGCTATTATATATTTACATAAATCTTACCTGAAAATCCATTACATTAATATTGAAATCGGGATGAGCCTCAAGAAAGTCTTTTACATCTGCAACATTTCCATAACCAACCAGTTCAAAGAAATCTTTTTCCAATTGTTGCAAATGTGGAATTATTACAGCAGATTCCTAAAATAATATCAAATATTTTAATAATAGCAGATTTTTGAAATAATATTAAATATATTAATAACATGTGTTTTTAATAAATAAAATTTTTTAATAAATAAAATAATTAAAATAAAATTAATAAAACTTGATAACATTTTGTTTAATATATAATTGTATCTTCTTTAATAAATAAAATAAATAAAATAAAATAAAATTAATAAAACTTCGTGTTGTTGAATAAAAATTAAAAACAAAGTTTTTGAATTTTACAGAAAATGATTTATAAGAAATTTTTTCGCATAATTGTATATTAAAGAGGAGACCATAACCTCTAAAAATTAATATGCAAAATTACTCACCCTTGGAACGGCGAAGGGATCCTCATCATATTCTTCCATTCTGAGCACGTGTCCACTTTAATTACGCCAGAGATGTTCGCTACGTTTATTTAAAACAAGTCGATGACTTAGCTTGACGTGTAAATTTCATGTACAAAACTTGAATGAACAAAGCAACAACGATGTAAGTGAACTTCATTATATTTTTTCTTTTTTAAAAATTTTTTTTAATTATTATACTTCAATTTTTTATATATTATGAATTTGTAATAGCTTATAATACATATTTTTATTTTGTAAAAATTAAGAATAAAATATATTTTTAAAATTATTAGAATAATATTATTATAGTATTATAATATAAATAGTTAATTAAAATTATAAAATAATTATCAGATTATTTAAATAATATTTATAATTATATAATAATAAATTATCATTTTCTTTTTGTTGATTTATATTATTATTTGACACACAAAAAATATTAAATGTTAATATTCATTATTAAAAATTAAAAAAAAATTATATAATTTATAATAAGTCTAATTATAGTAAGCTTAATTTAAAGTAAAAATTAACTTCTTAATTTTATTTAATATAAATATTAAACTAAAATTAATTATGTTATATATTTTGCATAATTTATATATAAAAATCTCTTAAACATTGAAAAATTTATAATAAAAAAAAAGCATCATATATTTTATATATTTGAAACTTATTTGCGCAATATGCACAAAAATAATATTATTTTATTTTATCCCATAATTTCAATAAAATTTATTTAGATTCATCAAATTTTTAAAAAAAAGGAAGCAATCACAAGACAGTAATTTTTACTTTCTGTTTAATGATTTAATTAAATCTATCGATGGTATATATACATAATTTATAATTTGTTTTTCCGCTACATACAAATAATAATAATAATAATAATAATAATAATAATATAATATAATATAATATAATATAATATAATATAATAATAATTATTATTATAATATAATAATATATATCAATTTTTGAAGATAACTTAAGGATCAATGAAATAACGGTTTTAAATCTATCGTGAAATAATTATTTTTAATTAATCATAGAGTTGTCGATTGAATCAATTTTTTTCATTGAATCAAATATGCAATTTTTATGTTATGGATTACTATGTATATATATAAGAAAAATTTGTTGTTTTCTTTATGAATACTTTTTAAATACAGCAATTCTAATACTAATAAACTGTGAAAGTTTTTATGCATTTATATTATTATTATAAATTTAAAAACTTATAAAATGCAAAGAATATGTAAAGACATAAAATATCCAAACAAAGTATATACGATATTTAAAAAATAAAACAATCTTTATTTTAGTTTTATTTTTGTAGTAATGTTCATAAATATTTAAATTTGTATAAACATTCGTAGTCTAGTAATATGATTCAAAAAAAGAATATGAATCAAAAAATAAAATCCAGGAAACGCAGCATTCAGCATTCTATAGAAGAGAAAGAAAATGGCAAATAGCGGACTATGTACAATGACTTTTTCTTTTTTCCTTCTTCTTTTTTTTTTTTCTTTTAAAGCGCATTTTATAACTTTTTTTTTCCCTCTCTTCTAGAATATTCCAGAAAAGATAACAGGACTTGTAATATTTTTTTTTAGAGATTGAATTTTAATTTTAATTAGATTCGTGAAGTTCGAACTCAAAACTCTCAAAATTTAAAATATTCATTTCTCTTCTTCTTCTTTTTTTTTTTGGTTAATTAAAATATTTATAAATTAAAATCTTAAATTTTGATTTTTGAAATTTGTAAAACTTTGGTTTATAAATAATTAGCCAATCAATTTTTTTAGATTATAATTAAATTTTTTTATTATATTTATTTCAATTTTCTATACATTTTTTTTCCATATAAAATATCATGTATTAGTATTATATTGTAAATCTAAGCAATAGTTAAATTATTATTATAATATTTAAATAAGAAAAAAGAGAGTTTCGAATTCCAAAAATAGAGAAAAGATTTTTTTCATATTTCTTTTTTTATATTTATTACTTTGCACATACTTTGTCATATATGCATATAACAAATCAAAAGAGATTTGTTATATAGAAAAGAAAAGCATCGATTGACGAAGAAACGCGTCAACATTTTCGTTTTACTCTTTATAAATAATATTAAATTTTAAATTCAGATGAATTTAACAATTTTTTGATGAAAAGGTACAAAATTTTAAATTCAATTTTGAATAAAAAAATATTTGGGTAATGATGTAAAAATTAAATAAATTATAACAAATATGAATTTCTAATTTGACTCAATAATTATACTTTACAATTTGATATTACTGGAAAGAAGAATAAGATTTTCTTTTGAATAGGAATTTATAGTACGTCCGAAAAATTTACAATTTAGTTTATTAAAAATAAATATTGATTTAATAAAATAAAAATAGATTATTTATTATATTTTTAGTATTTATGTGCACTATTAATTAAAAACACATTAAAAACGCATAAAAAAAAATTCATTTAAGAAATGTTCAAAATCTTACATAATTTTTATATCAATGATTTTGCATATTTATGATACTTAAAGAAATTATATCTTTCAATTTTCAATAGTTAAAAAAAATAATTACAGATCTAAATATGTGGCTATAAAAAATATTTGTATATATTCTTATTTTTTAATAATTGCTTTGTTATCATGTTCTATATTTTATTTTCATATTATTTATATTAATTTTTAATATAATATATGAAATTTTATATTTTGATATAAAATGATATATAAATATAATAGATATATTTGAATTTAATTAATATTCAAATGTTATAATAAATATATTGGTATGCGAATACTTTTTATAGCCATTGTATATATGTTTTTAAAATTTTTTGTATTAATTTGTTATTTGAAGCTTTTCTCATAAATAGTAACACTGTAATAATAAGTTGATTTTATATATGTAATTTGTATATATTTAAAAATTGAAGAAATGGTTAAATACAAGTTGAAAATCTTTTCTATATGATTAATACTACATACCTAACTGTAAAGTTAAAATATCCTATCTAGTTTTTTTTCATTTTTCATGATTTATTCTAATATTTGAAATTTCATATGTATGTTATTTTTCAAAAGTTACAAAGTTTTGAGTATTTTGTATCTACAAAACTTCAGAAAACTGCAGATTTCTTGAATATCTGGAAATACTAGATAGTTTATTTTAACGACAAAATGACAAAATAATATCATAATAATAAACAGATTTCATTTAAATAAATTCTTCATACTTTCAATAATCAATGAACTAATTATACACAGATTTAAATATATTTTTAAAATATTTTATATCATTTCATTATTAAAAACTTTTCCTGTACAGATAATATTATATAATAATAAACAGATTCTATATGAATGATTCCTCTGACTTTTAATATATTTTCATAATCCTTTATATCCTTTATATTATTAAAACCTTTAAAAGTTTAAGAAATAAAGAAATAAAACCATGTACAACAATGAGACGCGTTTCATTGGAAATATATAGAACGCAAAAGCGTAAAACGCAGAGCAGTGAATACGCGAAATTAATTATTTCACAGAGCACGTGACACGAATCAATGGAAATATTTTATCGCGTAAAAACAAGCAACTTTTCTGCCCATTCTTTTATAGAATTGTTTTATAGAAAATATGAAACATAATAGAATCCATAAATTCTGCCGTATGTCTACATTTCATGATATACAGAGTCTAGAAACACTTTTCAAGCATTTCATCAATCATTCTGTCAAATGCATAAATAAATTTCAAACATACATTACCGATCAAAAATTGGAATCACTTCTCTTTTTAATATTGAACATTTTTTTATTTTAATATAATTTATAAAATTAGATATCATAGTATTTTCATTTATTTTGATAGATTTTTAATGAAAGTTTTTAAAACTTAACCTAACTTGATCTTACCTGTTAACTATGTTTGACAAATATGAAGAAATGATGATTTTTTTATATTATGACAATATACCATATTTATTATAGAAAAAAAAGAATTATTTTATATTATTTAAATTAAAAATTTTAATGAAACTTAAAATATATTTGTAAATTTGAGACATTTAAAAACATTTTAAAATATAAAATAACAATTAAATAAAAAGAGAACAATAAAGTGAAAAATTCACTAAAAAAAAATTCACATAATGTGATTGATAAATATAAAATATTTACAAAAATGCTTTGTTATATTTAATTTTTTAAGTACTTTGAATAAATAAATTTTTTCTTTTTGTAGAAACAAACTTTATTATTTTTTTGTATTTAATTTTTCTTATTTTATTTTATTAAAGAGAATATATTTTTTAATTTAATTAAGAAATTTCAGCAATAAAATTATTCATTTTTCGAAGAAAAATCTATTCAGTAAAATTTAATTTAATTTTACAATAAATACAGTCTTAATTTTAATTATAAATTTCTGTTACACAATTAACAGGTTAAGTATTTGGATTTCTTAGAAAACATTAGTGATTCCAAATTTTTTCTGTTTTACATATAAGTAATTTATCGACGAACTTGTGCTAATCGAATTCTTCGTAATTTAACCTAATTGGGTCCTATCGTAAATCCATCTCAGAAAACACACTTCACATATTCACATGTTCGTCTCAAAATGAAAGAAAAAAAAAAATAAAAATTACAATAATTATATTATATACTCGTATTGTACACACACTATATTAAGAAAAAAGCTTCAATTCTTTCTAAAGCTTTATTTCAATTTGTCCAATAATATCTATTATACTACATGTCACTCGGTGAACGGAGGTGGGTCACTGGCCAAAACAAACGTCACTTTTACATCTTCGACATAATCCATGCATCAAGTATATTCTTCAATTCTAATAAAATAAAAAATAAAAAAAAAAACACTTGAAATTAAACTTATCTTTTTTCTTAAATGGTCCTTTCCATTCTTCTTCTCACGAGTCACAAAGTAAATACATTGCATAGACGATCCATCATAGATGATCACCTCATATTCATTTTCTTTTAATAACCCTGTATTGCTAATATCAGTTAAGAATTTTCAATATGTCTTTTCAAATTCTTTTAGATCACTACAGGGTTATTTTAAACGCGTTTCAAAAATCAAATTTCTCCTCTCGATTAATGTGATATTTAATTCACTGATACAGCATTTTTGTGGGTGTCACGTAAGAAGAGACCCAATAAAGAAAAGACGCATACCAGAGGATGCCTTCTTGCTTCGTTTTCGAGTTCTGCCTCGCATCTTGATACCTCAAATCTTCATCGTCGAAAATCCTCCTTTCGAAGAAGGATCTCATATTGCTCCATAGTCTGTACGGTAGAAACGCGAGATGAGCTATTTCTTGGTTGTCCACAAACGCGTAACAGGAAGCGACCACGTCGTCTATCAATACCGTTCCTTCGGTCGTCAGAGGAGCGAAGATGCCCTCTTCGAGAATTAGTTGATTGTCGATCACTTTGTCCCATCTAAGACGATGTTGCACTTCAATTTCATTGGATGGATCTCTCACTAAGATTTTGTCGCCTAATCGAACTCTGCCGGCAAATACAGTTGATCTACCCTCAACAGGAACTAAATGAGCTGGTGTAAGAGTGAGTATACGGCCAGATTCAGTAGTTAATTTAACAAATTGTCGCCTTTCGGTTAAAGATCTGTCGAGAAAGGCTATTACTTCGCTGTACACGATGTCACCATTAGAATCGAGCGCCGCGATACGGTCGCCAAGTTGAACTTGATCTAGTCTCTTCATTGAACCGTCTGAAGTTCGCACTAAGCTCTTGCCTGGGAAGCAACCTCCGGATTTCGCTGCAGACGAGGATTCTGAAAATGGATTGAATAATTAGGTTAGTTTGAATATTTGGTAATTTTTTTTACACGAGAAACAAAAGTTTTTATGTATCATTTTATATTTTATGTGCTCTTTACTTTTAATAATACATTTAATATAAATTACTTTTATAACTATAGTAGGTTATATATGATGCAATTTTTTTTTTAGCAAAATATTTACAGAATATGAGATATAGAATAAAATAGCTTTATTTTTGTTATATTGTTCTATTTTCATCTCATTTCATATAATGCAAACTTAAATTTATTAAAAAAGAATTATAAATTATTTATAATTTAATAAATAAATTTAATAAATTTCAATTTTTTATTTTGTATTTTTTTGATCTTTAGAATTAATGAATATATTGTTAGGATTACTTATATATAACAAAATTTTTAATAAAACAAAAGATTTTTTTTAAATTTTTCAATATAAAAAGAATTTTTAAATGCAATCGTAAAAGCATAAAATTTGTTAGAATTTTGACAGAACAAAGAAAAATATATAGAATAAAACATTTGTAATAAAATGCCATAATGAAATTCATAATCACCATTATTATAATTATAAATTATAAATTATAAATTATCTTAGAATATATTTATATTTATCTATTCAGAATAATATTAGTAGAATTTTAGCAAAATAATTTTTATTTAAAATAGTTAAATAAATCTTTAAACTAAAATAAATTTTTTATTTGAATTGCTCTTAAACCAATAATTTCTTTATTTATGGATTTTCTATTTTTTGTATGACATATTTTTATTAAAATAAATTACTTTATTTTTATAATATTAATATTAATATTATTAATATAATATTATTATTAAATATTATTATTATTAAATAATATAATATTAATATTAAAAATTGAAATTAGCTATGAATAGCTATGTTATTGATATTGATTTGTTTAAATTAATTTTTATTTTATAATTACCAAGACTTGTCAAAAATCTATTTTCTTCATAAATTATTATGAATTTAAAATATCTCAAATTCAATTTCAAGTTTCAATTTCAAGATCCTTTGAGGAATAAAATATAAAACAATCTTTGGACAGTTAAAATTATAATGATAGAAATTTTAATGAATATCATATCATGAATATCATTTTTTTATTCTTAGTATCTGTTACAATTATAATCTATAAGGAATATTCACAATTTGTACCATATATTTACTATTTCAATTTCTTTCTTGATTAAAATATTTTGTCATATTTAGAAATTTAAATTTAAACATAACTATATAATGAATTGTTTATAGTAAAATATAATTAAATAAATATATCATTAAGTAATAATATTAAAAATATTAAATATTAAATATAATATTAAATATTAGAAATAAAGTGACTTCAAAATATTATATGATATAAATATAAATCAATATAAACATTATACATAGATTACACATACATAATATAAATATAAAATATATTAATTATATTTATAATATAAATTATAATATATATTAATTATATTTATAATATAAATTTTTAAAGAAAAATATTTTAACAATGTTCAAATTTATATTTAACAATTTCAAATTTATATTATTTCAAAAATTTAAATTTAATTAATTAAACATATAATCAATTGTTCGTAAAATATAATTAATAAAAAATATATTATATGTATATCGAAAAAATAAAATGATTTCAAAATATATATCAATTTTAAAAAAATTGACAGTTATATTAAAAAAATATATTATTTTAATAATTACATATATATATTATATATAATATAATTATATATAATATTTATATTATTCATATCGAATAGTATTAATTTTTTATTTTCTATTAATTTATGTTTTTATTTTATAAAATATATATATCTCAATTTCTTAATTTTTTTTGCTTGAGTAATTTTACAAATCCTAATTGAAAACATCCTTTTTGCACATAAGATTCCTAAGATAGAAGAAATTGACAATTGAATCGGAGAAAAGAAATGAATGAAAATGAAATATTATGTGTTCTTAATATCAATTCTGAAACGATTCAACTGTTGAAACAGCGTAGAAATATTAGAAGAGAATTCCATATTGAATTTTCCAGCATGCTGAATTTAAAAACGTAACTCTTTTCATCGCGCGTTTGATTGTTATAAATTATTTATTAAACGTTGATTGTTATTATATTATATATTTAATTAATGTTTGTAATATAATCTAAAACCAATTAATTTTTATAGTATATAAAGTAACTTTAGGAAAAACAGATTAAATGATCTCGTAGAAATATTAAATATTAAATCTAGTAAATATTATAATTGATTATCGCAAGACTATTAATTTAATTTTTTAACCTCTTATTATGTACTTAATATATTCAATATTTACATATTGGAATGAAGAATGAAATTTTATAGAAAAGAAAAAAAACCAGATTATTTTTAATTTAATCTTTTAATTTAGATTAACTTTACTTATATTCTTAAGTATATAATTACTTTGAATATTTTTTCATAAATAGATTTCATATTAATAATAATTCTAATTAATTTTTTTACATATGATGTTTAAAAATTAAATTTTTTTATTTTTTTACATATGTTATTAACATTTCATACTCGATATAATGCAATACCTACATATCATACAATATCTTAATTACTTATTAAATAACAAAATAATATATATTTGTACGTAAATATGATTAAGAAATTGTTTAATTTCTTATTAAAAAACATTCAATTAGAAAAATATTTTTTATGATGTTATCTTATTTTTAACATCATATTTTTTATGATGATATCTTATTTCTAACATCTATCAATTTTCAATCATATCAGTTTTTTTGAGATCATAATCAATTAAATAATTTCATCATTAGTTGTTATATGTATTGTTTATAATTATAATTTTTCTGACAAAAAATATAACATAATGTTAATATAATATAATGATATGTTGGTTAATTGTATAATTCCGTTAATTAAAAGAAAACATTTCATTTTGTTTAAAATGAAAGATATGAAAACATTCAAAAGTTTAAAAATGCTATGTAACATTAAATTAAATTAATACAGTTGATAATAATAAAAATTTTTTATGTTAAAGACATTTTATTTTTTTTTAAATAAATGAATTATTATTGTAAATTGAAATAATAAATATATAAGATCTTAACATATTTATGAAACAATCTTTAGAGAATCAATATTAAAATAAACATAAAATTATTATACAGAAATATTGGTTTATTTATTTATATTATATACAATTTAAATTTACGTTAAATGAAGCGAAACAGAAACAGAACAAGCATGGAAATGAAATAGACATAGAGATGCTGAAATCGTAAACGAGATAAACTTAATAAGAAACTCTGAAACAGTCTACTGAATTCACTTATTCGTCATAATCACTACCCATTTTTTTTCTTGTTGCAAGCAGAGATCTTTCATGATTCATTCAAATAAACAATAGGTTATGATATATGAATGGTATGAATGATATCATTATTCATTAATATTATTATTATAATGAATTTCAATATTCAATAATATTATTCATAAAACGAGCACATAAATTATTTTCATTAAAAATGGAATTAAATTCAATCGTAGTATATACGAATCCGAATTAGTATTATATTTAATTTCACGAATTTCTTATTGTTAGAATATTTTTATAATTATATTTAGAATAATTAGGATTAATTAGGATAATACAGGATTAATAAATATATTCATCATTAGAAATTCGATTCCAAAGATCAAAGTGAATATAAAAATGTCACTTATTAAATTAAGAATAATTTAATTTTGCATTAAATGAAGCGAGTGAAGCGATATATTAATGTGACAAAAATAGTATCGTTTTATTTTATTTATTTCTGGCTTCATCAATTGATTACATATAATAAATTATAGATATATTACTTATAATAAATAATAAATAATTATATAATAATTAATAAATAAACTTTAATTTGATATTTTTGTATACCAATTTTTGTATTTATTTCTCTAGACTTTCTGATCTCTAGACTTGATCTTCCAAAATATTCTAAATTTACTTTGCTTTAAGTAAAATCATTTTAAAAATTCAGTTGCAAAAAATTTATTATAATATCCGTTTTTAAAACAAATCATTGCAATTATAATTTATAGTGAAAAATTAAATAAACATTATATATAAAAAATCTTTTTCTACATTATATAATAAAATATATATATTCCTTATCCAAATAAGTTTTTAAAAATTTTGATAACGTCCTCTTTTGGAAAAAGAATATGGATCATTCTATCTTATTATGCTGAAAGGTACATTTCTATGTATATTTTCATTCACATATATTTCAGTGTCTTTTCACATTATATTACATCATAATTTGAATTTGAGAAATGTTTTTCTTCTGAAAATTATCTCTAGATAAATAATTTGAATAAAAAAATTGGAATAGAGAAAAGAAATAGAAGATTATTCATTAGATTAGTTGATAGATCGTTGATGAAATATGGGTTGAGTATGGCATTGATTGGAAGGAAGTTTAGGGGAGATTGCGAGAAAAATGGAGCAAAATAGCGATTGAATGAATGCACGAAAGAGATCGGATAAGTTGATTAAATCTTAGATAATGAATGAGAATGATGAGTATAGATATTAGATACACTGGATCAGAGTATAGATATTAGATATACTGTGATCCAATTTTCATCAAAACTATATTTTTTATGATAGGGAAGAGTCATATATTATTGGTGGAATAGTTTCGTTTCACTTGATATTTACAGATTTACGGATATTTATATTTTATTTGAAATGACAAATGAGTATAAAGAAATATCGATATCATACTATATGAAATCATATGCAAATGTTGACGAATTTTCATTTAAATTGAAAAAAATATATTATAATCACTTTATTCACGTCATCACGTATATTATCGCGCGACAAAAACATATTTTCATGTATTTGAAGTACTTTATTTTCATATAAGCTTAAAAATAGAAAATTGCTTATA